AAACCTTTACACTGCAGTGTAACTTTCACTTAGAAAGTTTGCCAATCTGGTCAGAATTAAACTCTACTCATCCAAATTTATGTTGTCCAAAGAGCCATCTACAACAGGTTAGAAATAAATTCCACAGAATCTCCCTTCAAAGCATCTGAACTACCTCTGTAAGTGTGCTAGATAAAACTAAGGGTTGAGAGTTGATTTAAAATGCAGAATTGGATTTGGGGTTGTTTCTAAGGTTTACTCTGTTGATAAAGTTGTTTACATCTTTATCAATTGATTAACTGAGTTTTGACTTTTCTTACCTGCTTTTTAAGTGCAACAAAGAACCAGCACGAGCCCTAAAATACTGCATCAGATGACGTTTTGCTGTAACGCACTTAAATTCCAAAGTATGCCAAAGCGAGTCGCTCGTAAATCCTTTCATTTAACTTTTCTGCTGACACACGAAACAGGAGAGCACTCATCTGACTCGCCACCTCGTGGAGCATGAGCAACCTCCCATGGGCGAGTCGCTTCTGCAGCGCTACCGCAGACAGGCCCGTGACTGATGCGTCAGCGCCGTTTGTTGTYGCCTGCCAGTGTTAACAGCTTGGATACCGAGGGGTAAACAAACCAAAAAAAAAAAGAAAAAAAAAAGACTAAACGATGAGCCACCCATCACAGCTCAGCCGTGGACAGCCTTTGGAGGCGTTGGACCCGACGCAGGACAGGATAAGTCATCAGGAGGTGTTGTGACTACTCGAAGTCCACAACTGTTTTGTGTCGGCTTTGGTCGCAGCGTGCGTGGGACCAACATGATTAAGACTTCACACGCAGAAGATATTAGTCATGGCTGAGAAATAATTAGACTAGCATTTGCTCCCTAATGAAATGTGAAGATTTGTCATTTTTGTCGTCTAGCGCTGACAGGAGCCAATTTATTGTGTATTTACTGAAAGGCTAACATCATGAATAAAGTGTAGCACAGATGCTACTCTGTGGCCTTTAATAACTGTCTAAAATGATAATATACTAACATTATTTATGTAACAAAGCATGCTGAAGACTTTAGACTTCTTTAGCTAACATGGAAGTTGAAGGTTCTATTTTTTTTTCTGAATTTAAGAACATATGAATAAGCTTTATGGAGTTTTCMGTTTTTGTTTTAGCCTGTTGGAGTAGTTTTGATAAAAGCCCTGCCTAAGTAGTTTCTAAAATACTTAAATGTATTTGTTCTACCTGTTTTGGACATGAAGTTGAATCGYTGTACTGGTGTGCTCAAAAGTTTTTGGTCATTTCTCAGTGAATATGAAAGAATAACACATGGTTAGTGTTTATTTTTTTACATCATAAAGACAGAAAGTGCCCATATGACCTTGATCAAAAATATACATAACCTAGTTCTTAATAATGTGTCCTGACTGCTTTAGCATCAATGGCCACTTGAATGTTTTTGTGACAGTTGTTTTTTTTTTTTCACATTTTAAAGCTGCCAATGTCAAAATGTCTCCTAAAAATTCAGTAAATTCCTGTGTTGAATGTTTGAGATCTCCCAAAAGTGACTGTGTTGAGGTCAGGAGACTGAGATGGTCWTTCCAGAACCTTTAATTTGTCTCTGCTGTAGCAATTAATACGTTGATGTGGCCTTGTGCTTTGGATCATTATGTTGGAATGACCAAGACCCAAATCATCAGCAACCCACCTCTCATAGCAGGGATGGTGTACTCTTCATCGTGGGAAGTGGTGACTCCTCTTCAAATGTAACAATGATAGTTGTGGCCAGAATGATCAGTTTAGGTCTCATCATTCCAAATGACTATGTTGCAGACGTTTTGAGGCTTGTCTCAGTGCCGTTTGGCATATTGCAAGCGGGTTGCTTTGTGGCGACGTAATACCGACTTTCTTCTGGCGACTCAACCACCGTTTTTCTTCAAGTGCCTCCTTATTGTCTTTATCTCCATCTTCTGCTGCTTMTCCATRGTTGGGGCACGGAGGCAACAGGTCCAGGAGAGATACCCCGACCTCCTACCAACACTTCCCAGCTTGTCCTGGGGGACCACAAGGTGTTCCCAGGCCAGAGAGGACACATAATTCCTCAAGCGAGTCCTCTGTCTTCCCTGGGACTTCCTACCAATGGGACATCTCTAAAGGGAGGCGTCCAGGAGGCATCCTAATCAGATGAACCACCTCAACTGACTCCTTTCAATGCAGAGGAGCAGCAGCTCTAGTCTGATCTCCCCSAGGTTGAGCTCRGCCACTCTAYGAARGAAGCTCATTTTGGCCACTTGCATCCGGGATCTCATTCTTTTGGTCATAATTTACGCCTCATGACCACAGGTGAAGGTTGGAATGTAGACAGACCAGTAAATTGAGAGCTTTGCCTTTCAACTCAGCTTTTTCTTCACCATGACCAAGCGAAACAACACCCTCATTAAAGAGGAAGAGGCTCCAATCTATTGATCCATCTCCCGCTCCATCCTACCATCACTCATAAACAAGACACCAAGATACTTAGACTCCCGTACTTGAGGCCGAGACCACTCCCCCACCCCACAACCCAAAGGGGGCATCTGCTCTTTTCTGGTCAAGAACTATGGCCTCAGAATTGGAGGATCTGACTCTCATTCCAGCCACTTCACATTTGGCTGGGAACCACCCCAGTGCACACTGAAGATCTTGGCCCAAAGACGCCAACAGAATCATCATCACATCATCTGCATACAGAAAAGACGAGACCCTGTGGTTCCCAAACCAGACACCCTCCTCTCCATGACTGCACCTTGAGATCCTGCCTACAAACAAGATTGGAGACAATGGACAGCCCTGGTGGAGTTCAACCCACACAGAGAATAAGCTCAACGTTGGGTCAAGAATGCAGACAAAAATCCTGCTTCGGTTGTAGAGACTGGACAGCTCTTAATAGCAGCACAGACACCCTTATTAAGAATTTTCAAAACATCCACTTTGTTTCCAAAGAGTCCTGTTTGTCAGCTGAACTTATTATTTTGTTTTTCTTTGAATCCCAAGCAATTTTCATGACAGTTAACTTGTGACTGAAATTTTTGTTGGTCTTCCTGATAGTGGCTTGGTTTCAATAAAATCCCTGTTTTTCACTTCTTAATTAGATATATTTGTATTCTTATGGCTTGGATAACTTCCTGTTTTATAGAGTTCGGCTTCAATCTTCTCCTTCAGATCCTTTAATAAATTATTTGCTTTCCCCATGGCTCCGAATCCAACATCTTTGCAACACAGGATGTCAGGAACCTAGAAACTCACTGACTTTTTATGCAAACCCACTCATTTCACAAAAATAGATCACAGGTGAGGATGGGTAACTTTAGTGTMAACCTGTCTGTATGTTATCATGTTAAAGCATCCAGGGTATTTAAACTTTTTGAGCACAACTGTTTGTTAGACAGATAAACAATTTTAAGTATGGTTGCTAGCTTTAGCCCAATGCTAACAGATCGCTGTCTGTAATCTGATTAAATATTTCTTTCAGAAAATGATGAGTTTTTATATTATTTACCCTGCTGAAAACTTTTATAAAATACTTAAATTTGCAGGTCTACTTTGTTGACAGGGGGAATTAATGCAGGGCCATGAGGTAATAACCTGTAGTCATAAGTTAGTTAAAGTTTGACYATGAAATAATTTTGAGCAGTTGTGTCTTTGTGAGAGATACAGACGTTGGAGTCACATTTTATAAGAATACTGTGTTTTTTTAACTGTTTAAAAGCACCCCACATTTATTATTATTTTAGTTTTTTGGTGTATGTTTAATCCAAACAGTATACCGCTGTGGTTCAATTTACATGGTTCATCTTTCATTGTACTTACAAGATGACAGTGACTGTCATAAGTTTGTTTCAGGAAACAATTTTTTACTGTTCCTGAACGTAACATAACTCTGGCTCTTTCCTTAACAAAGGCATGGTGTTAGAGAGGAGCCTTTTTGAGTGTTGMGTCTAAAGAAAATAAAGCTTTTTGGACAAAGACAACACCAATCATTTCCTTTGTCTTATAGCTTCAACATAGAATGCTAAGAATTAACCGCAAGTGACTGAAGTATGACATTCATTCCTATTTTAAAAAATAAAACTACGTAATTCAAACTTGTACATGTAAACAATCAACAGTCTCTGCATGGAAATAACTGCAATTATTATCTCATGGCCACGCATTAAGTATCTC